AATTTAATAATAATAATAATATAACAAGAACAACAACAATAATAATAGTAGTAATAATTATATTAATTCTAATATCAATAATACCTTAGTAGACCTTGTACGTCCACAAATTAGCAGCTTTGATACTCTCAACCTATAACCACACATACCTGAATTCTTCAAAGCATTCTGAATTAAGGATACTGTAAATTGAGCTCACCTAAAAAAAACATACCATTCAACCAAAATCAATCAATTAAAAAAAGTCTGGTCATATGTCTGAAAAAGACTCTTTGCAAGCAAGCCTACATGTGTTGGTTGTAGCTGAGGACTGAGGACTGAGTTCTGTGATCACTTCTGTGATGTTTAGCAGGGACACTTGACAATGAAGAAAGACCTTCTCCATAAACTCCATCAGTTTGAAGCTGAATCCTGTGGTGAGATTTGCTGGTGACCCTGGCCAGAACTGACATTTCAAGAGTGTGACAGCATGTGGCTCACAATCACACACTTGTACATATTTGAGGCGATGATTTCCTGACATTCATAAAAAAATAAATGAACAACCTAAGAAGTTAAGTAAACAAAATGAAAAAAAAAACCAAAACATTACATACAGCTTTACACACCTCTTACTTTGTTGAGGGCCATGTAGACACCTTATTAACCAAACGGGAGGGCCATACTAGGAGAATATTGGCCCGAGGTCTTGAAAGTACAAACCAAGGGCAGCGAGGTCTGTACAGAAAAGTCTAAGGGCCAATATTCTCCCAGCACGACAGAAAAGGCTCTTACAGATAGATGCAAGCCAAGTTTATTGCTTCTCTTTGGACTTAATGGCAAGCCATATCATTACAAAACTTAATTGCATGTGGGATAACCTTCAGGACATTATCCGGTCCAATACTTAGAAATTATTGAACAGCCAATGGAGCAATCTGATTGGCCCTGATATATTGAGAGAATTTAAATATCGTATCATTATCATCAGCGTTCTTGATTTTACGCAAGCGGCAGGAAAATGTGACAAAGGAGCAGATAAAATTGAAAAAGAACGCTTGGTTTTTAAACCATTCTAGTATTCTCTAACCACTATAAATAAAATGAACTGACCTGAGGCATCCAGAGGTCTGAACAGCTTTACTGTTGCGGTTCTGCACGTATGGCCATAGCTAACAGTTGCCTCATCTGTATACAAAGGAGAAATACCCCATCCTATTAAAATAAAGAAAGTAAGAAGTAGATAAAAGTACAGTTTAACCAGACATGTGAATTACACTAAAAGTAGCTAGAATACAACCGGCCCCAAAATATTCATACACACCTTGCATTGCTCAAGTACATGGAACTTGTTTCGATTGATATGTAGAGCTCGTGCACATTCAACACAGAAGTACTGGCGAGGGCCACAGTATTCACATCGTGTTGTAGCGATACTCTCTTGACAGTTCACACAGTTAGTATTGTCTGGAAGATGCTGTTCTTCAATGTACGAATTCAGCAACTTTTCCCGTACCTTTTCCCAGTTAGCAGAGATACTCAAAACACGATTTTGCTCTTGAGTTGAGAGTTCCTGCTTGTCGAGATCGTCAAGACGGACATCTTGTTCTACTGCACTGTTGGTGTCCTGACTATTTTCCTCCGTACTCTTATGAGGCTGCTTCCCAAGATCCACTCTCAGCGGAATCGATACAGTGGTTTTCTTTCTATCGTGCCCAATATTCTTCACATCAAGCAAGACGGGCTTTAACCGACGCATTTCGCAGCGATCACCTTGGCTGGTACACCGATGAGTGAGGGATTTGATTGGTCTAAATGTTTATGCATATTTAATGAGCTACCGGGAAAACTGAGATGATCTTTAAACACCGCTTGAACCCAATGATCTAAAGTTAGATTAGGTGAGTGTTAGCCATTTAGATTGTGTAAGTAGGGTGCACCTGTAAAAGCAAATATGTAAATCCAGAGTTGAAGAATTTTGCAAAAGAAAAGATGGCGTCGTTATTACTCATTCGTTATTTTGTTTGAGCGAGCTGACTGATTCGAGCTAGCGGAGAGAGGTTCAATTTAGTATTTTGAAGGTAGTTTAACTTGTAAGTGTTGCAAATAAACAGGAAGTTATCAGTAATTCTGGATGAAAGACTCCCCTATTCATTGCCAACAACACGGCAGGTAGGCTTAAGCTAAAAGTATGTAAAAAAAGAGGGTGGTTTTTAATTTGGGGTTATTGAAATACATTCGAATTAAGTAAACAAGTTAATTCAATTTGGTTTCGTGGAATTAGATAAATTACTTAGAAAAGCAAATATACCTTTCGCCCGTAATGAGAAAGACCCTCAACAGAAAAAATGATTTAGCGTTTACGGCGACCAAAATCTAAATTCTAAAGTTCAAGGGCGTGTCGCTCCAAAACGCGGTTAACGAGGTGTTTGGGACTATTTTACTGATCGAAATGACAACCCAAAGTTGACTGTTTGCACGAATCTTTATTCTTGAAAAGCAATCGACCACGAACCACAATCAATGACGAAAATAACGATTATTCTGACAGTCAATCAATCTATCGAACGATCGATCGTAAACTGAAACAACAATACAACGAAGTTCTATCAATCTAACGAAAAGCCGCGGAATACATGATCAAAGAATCGCATGTTAAATACTGGGCTCTAAAGTCTATAACGAGATTAACAATACAAGTGAAACAGAACAAAAGTTTGGAAACAAATTAAAAGAGTTT